GTGGGAAAAAGTCATTACGTTTAAACCAAGTGGTTTGATTTTTTTTTTGAAGCGTCTTTACTTCAACATATTTCTTCCATTGCATAAGCATTTACAGAAAAATTAAAAGATACAATGTGAAATACTGATATTGGGCTAATGAATAGCACCATTTAAGTAAATGTTAAATTCAGACTTGAAAGTGGTTGATTTTTTGAGAAGAGAAAATTCCATTTTTGCACCTTTTAGTAACAAGGAATTAGAAAATGGCATTTTTCAAAAATTTTCAGCAGAATCTGCCTTCAGTGTCCTCTCTGGTGGACACAATCAGTAATGCTGTGGAAGATTTGACCACTGCTGTGGGGGAAGTCAGCTATGCTTTCACTGACTCGGTTGCTGAACAGGTAGCAAGTATGATAAGTGGCTTCCGCCCAGAAGAGGAAAGCCCTGCAGCAACAGAAGCTGTAGATACTTCTAAACGAGAAAATACCACGTTACCAGAAGTCTCTAAAAACACTAATTGTCAGAAAACACAATTCGATTTAGAGCACCAAGCAAATCGAATAAATAGCTATAATACTTCAGTTTCACAAAAGCAAGATCAAGGAATGAATGAAGAAGGAGTATTTAAACATATTAATAATAGGCAACAGACACTATCAAAATATCAAGAAACCGATACTGCTGGTGATTCTTCTTTGAAAGGCCAGATGAGTGATGGTAGGATATCAGTTAGCAAGCAGTATGCAAGGGCTGGATCTGCTTGTCAAGAACTTGAAAGTACTGACAGATATAGAAAATATGGATTAGGAATTTCCAGTAATGGTAAGCATGACCTAAAGGAGGTAAGATTTCAAGAAATGCAAGAAAATTATTTAAAGAAGGCTGAAAAACATATTAAAAGTAAAGGATCCAAAGGGAATAAGTGTTCAGGAAATGAATGTTCTCCAAAAGGTATTTTGGAAAGCAATAGACATATGATACAGAAATCCACTAAGAAAAAAGACATACATCCAGCAGCATCAACTAATTCTAAAGGTAAGTGTTATGGAAAATCAAAGAACAAATAAATCCAACAAAATACTACAAAGTGAAAGGAGACATAAAAACAAAGAAAAACGAAGCCATTTCTGCCAAAAAAGAAACAGCAAAGAGTAAAGATGAAAAATATTCTGAGATAATACCAGAAAAAGGTGAGGTCTCCTAATGTGAGTTTGAGTGATAAAATTTTCTCTTGATTTTTTTACGTTAGGAAAACATCCAAATTTCTAAATTTTTCTATACATGTCTGTATATCTAATTTAAGACTTTCTTGAATCCTCTTACTGGGAGACATTTTTAAAGTCATACAGTTTTTTCTCACAGTCATTTCAAAAGCATTCATGTTATTTGTATACCTCTAATTTAGTTACTGCCCCTGGTCCCTGCATTATTTGGCCAATTTTAAGGGCCTTAATTTTACTTAATGCCCATTTATTTTTCAGTCAGAAATTCTGTGGTTTTCTTAAGTAGTGTGCATACTTTAATTGGAATTTATTTGGTGTGCTACAGTTAGATTTAAAATTTTTATATTTTTGTAACCAACCCTTAAGCCCTTTATACCGTGTTGCTCTTCACATCTTTCCTAGTAAGAATGTACCAAACGTTTTATGTTTTTCCTTGAGAGCAATAGATTTTTATCTTACTGAATAACATGCTTCAGGATATGTATCTATTCATTTAGCCATACATTAAGAGTTTTATATGACATACGTTTCCAATGTGTATACATGAACAATCTATTATTATTCATGAGTTCTCTATGTAGAATTAAGATTCCAACTAAGCAGTTACAGTTTTCATCCACAATATTTGTGACAATTTTTAAAACAATTAGCTGGCAGTTACTTGGTTTTGGTTGCAGAATTGCTTCATATCGCTAGTTAGCACACCTGGTTATCCTCTAGTCATTTTCATTAATTGCCGATCTGATCACAAGGCCAGAAGTACGCTGGCTTTTATTTATAAAAGATACATACAGAATTTTTATGTATATTTACATTCTCATAAAATAACCAAAATACTGAGTAGCAGTAGAAGTGAAGAAGACTGTTTCAGTTCTGCTACATGACTTTGTGCATAATAGGGTCTGCTATTTATCAATTATATGAATGTTTTTTAAATGATATAATAGAGGCTGATCCAGGATGGATGAGCTAAGTAAAAAGGAATGCCAATTTTTGGAAATACCTCCATTTTGAAGTCTATTCTTGTAGCAGTTTTTTGAATGTCAGATTCAGTGTTTTTTTGGTAGCCTTGGTTTAGTTTTGGTAGCCTTATTACTTGAAGTAGCAAAAATCAAAAGAAATAAAATTAAGAAGAATAGTTTACATATTATTTTATTCATAAAATAACAGTAGAATGGATGCTAGTAATAAATACTGCAGTAGCAATACAGAATTTTAAATTTTGTTTTGATTTGTTTTCATTAAGAAACATGTGCTACCTAAAAGAAATCAAATATTTCTGAAGTATTCTAGATTATAGTCAGTACTAAACTGAAACATGTTATGTTCTAAAACCGTTTTGAAAATCATTTGACCCATATGGATTGTCCCTTCATTAGCTGAGCTATAATGTTGCTAGTACCTGTGTCCTAGGTTCTGACAGAGCTTACAAGGTATAATAAGAGGAAGAAGAGTTTCCTTCTCTGTTCCTGAATGCAGGGCTACTTTAGGTAATATTTTGTAGCAGGTGAATTTCTAGTTACCCTCCTCAGAACTCTCCTGCTGCCTTAAGACCACCACCATGGTATCCCACAAGTGCTAAACCCTGGGAGTCAGAATGCCTAGGTTCTAGACTAGATCTGCCATCTCAGCAGATGCCACCTCTGTCCAATAGAACTTTCTGCAGTGATGGAAAAGTTCTACATATCCGTATTGCTTCATACAGTAACCACTGTCTGCATGTAGCTATTGAGCACTTGAAACGTGGTTAGTAGCACTGGAGAACTAGATTTTAAATTTTATTATTTCTACTTAGTTTAAATAGCGGCATGCGGTTGGTGACTACTGGATTGGACAGTGCAGAATATAACATCAGTCATAGTTTCACCCTTTGATGGTTTTATTTTGCTGAATTAAAAAGCAGGACTTAGACTAGTGACGTCCAAGCTCCCTCACTTCTAACTGGAAACATTCCATTTCTATCCCATGTTTTAAAATTACTCATTCTGTGTCTCCCCACCTGAATTTCAAACATTGATTTGTCTACTGCAGATGATCTTGGCTGAGTATAATGAGAGAAATATCTAGACTGCACTAATAAATTCTGACTGCTATGGTCTCTTTATCCTCCTAGAGTTGTTTTATAATTCTGAGAAGGTTGCATCATGGTCTGAATGAATCTCAACATGATGCAGTTTCAAAATTTTTACCTTAAAAAAATGGTAATAACTAGTGCTTTTTTTTTTTTTTTTTTTTTTTTTGCGGTACACGGGCCTCTCACCGCCGTGGCCTCTCCCACTGTGGAGCGCAGGCTCCGCGGCCGTGGCTCACGGGCCCAGCCGCTCCGCGGCACGTGGGATCCTCCCGGACCGGGGCACGAACCCGCGTCCCCTGCATCGGCAGGCGGACCCCCGACCACTGCGCCACCAGGGAAGCCCCAATAGTGCTTTTTAAAATAATATAAAATTAATTAATTTACCTTCTGAAAAATTTATTTGAAATTTGGGTATATTTAAGTAGAATTTTCATAGTAAGTCTGCCTTTCACAGATAGTGTGTTAAGCTTGGTGTATATGCTTCCAGACGTTTTTGTATGTACGTGTAAACTTATACTGCATGTATGTGTGTATATGTTGCATGTAGGCATACGTATGTTAATCTCTTTTCTTCTCTTTTCTCTTAACATGAGAAAAGCTTCTCTTTTCTCTTAACATGATGTGGTAGTTATTCTTTCCCTGTGAGTACTTGTAAGTTCACCTCCTCATTTTTAATGACTGTATAGGATATCATTGCATAGATGTATCATAATTTACTTAACCAAGGCTCAGCGATGCACATTTAGCTCATATTTTATTTTTGTTTTCCCTTGCTGTTAAACACAGTGCAGTAAATTTTCTCAAATGCATATCATTGCTCACTTGTTAATTATTTTCTCAGGCTGAATTCTTAGAAATGGAATCGGTAAATTCCTAGAAATGGGTCAAAGACTATGCAGATTAGAAAGTTTGATATGTATAGCCAGATTGCTCTCTAGAAAAGTTGTACCGCTTATAATTCCATCAATAGTGTATGTCTGTCCATTTCTTTGTTCTGCTTCTAACACTGAGCGTCATCAGTTACGAAAATTTTGACTAAGATGATAACCAGAAACGTCTCTTGTAGCATGAATTATTTGAATCAGGTCCATATGTATTGGCAATACTTAAAACTTCCTTTGTGTGCTACTGATGCTTTAAAAATAATTGTGTAAGATGGAGAGCCTTATTACTCTGTTTACCTGTACCGTGGTTGGAAAATCCCTATGACTAATATTATTTATATAATTCAAATGTACAAGTCAGTTTTTTCTATTAAAACATAAAAATCTAAAGCTTGGGCTTCTTAAATGAAAAACTATTTTTTCTAAAGCTGAAAATTCAGATTGTGTGTATGTGTATATATATGTTTATATATATATATCTGTGTGCGTATGAATATATGTGATACATATATAAGCATGTAACATGTATGTAACTATAGCACATTCGCTACATTTTATTGCGTTATATTTTGATCTGCGCTCCTTGTCGTTCCAAATAGACAACTCCTACATTGACAAAGATGAGCATGGTTCATCCTCTGAAAGTGAAGATGAAGCACTGGGTAAATATCATGAGGCCTTATCCAGAACACACAATTCCAGACTACCATTGGCAGATTCTAGACAAAAGAGCTATACTTGGGAAACGAGACAGAAATATAGCCCTCTCTCTGCAGAGTATGATGGATACAGTAGCGAAGCGTCAATAGATGAAGGTAAGACAGGTTACGTTTTTGTTTTTCTTTTTTACACTCTAGTATTTGATTATTTGTTTCTAAAACTCTAGGTGTCTGTGGTTGTACAATAAATAAGAGATAGCATATATGGTAGGGTCACATTTCTGGGAATATAATTCGTTCAAATTCAAATCTTTGGGCTCCAGCCAAAAACCAAAACTAAAACCACAACACCCAAAAGCAAAACACCAAGTAATTTAAATACAGTGGTAATTCTAGCTCTCTTTTCATAATGAACATATGCCTAGCAATCGTGAGATGGGAAGTGTGAATCGGCTGTTGTCTCACATGGAATCAGTCCTAAATACCTGTTACAGGAACTGATATGGTCTAAGAATCTCACAGTGTTGAATATGATTCTAGTGTGTAAATGAGTGCTTTTTCATTCAGTATGGGCCCTAACACGAGCCAGATACTTCATGTGGCATGAAGCAGAAGGAGTGGTGATCTCTTCCATGTAGGAGGAAAAACTGTCTGAGATAGATTTATTGAGAGCCAGTACTGTATAGTACGAGACTCTAAGGGAAATTTAAGGAATTTTCAAGGATTTTTTGGTCCCCTGTTGATTTTTGCCTCATGTGCCGACATTGACATTAGAAGTCAACCTATGTAGAAGATACAGGTCCACTCTCAAGTGTTTTTATATCTTTCTAAAAGAGAAATAAAAAAGGTTTTACCTTTTTTACCGAAAGCATTTTTATTTCCACATCTAAGTAAGTTGTTTGTGTGATTGATACAATGTGTGACTACTCCTAGTAATTATTATATTTATGCCCAGATACGAAGAAAAGAGCAATATATTTTAAATAGCATTTTTATTATTATATCAAACACAAACTAACCTTAATATTGTAGCTGTGGTTTGTGTTTTGGGGCCTATTACTATTGATGACTTACTCTGGCACATACAGCTGTCAAAGGAGTTAAATTTTTGTATTTGGCTTTGTGCTAACTAAAGATTGATATACCTCCCTTTTACTTCTGCTAGTACATAGTACAGTAAGAAGTTAATCAAATATGGAAGGCTCATTATGAGATGCTAGGAAAGAAATAAAAAATATTAGACATGGACTCTACCCTCAAAATTACCTTTCTTAGTACTAGAGAAAATAAGACATGTGCTTACAAAGATAACTAAATAATGTAAACCCTGGCTCATGAAGAGTAGAGCAGAAAGAGAATGGGTCTTGAAGCCTGATCCTTGTTCACCTTCTGGCCCTGTGACTTACCGTATTAGCGGCGAAACCTTGGGCAGTGTACTTAATGGGCAGTGTACTTGATAGTTTCTAGGTTTGTTTCATTGCCTCTAAGTGTGAATAATACCTTGCTGATAGGGTTGTCATGGACATTAAATGGTATGTGTGGTGTTTTTAGCATAGCGTCTGGGGCCTGACAGGTAAGTCATCAGTAAATGGTAGTCATAGTTACGGGTGGTGAAGCATTGATGGTGATGATAGTGAGCAGCTGCTAGCAAGCCCTGAGTGTGTAGTCTGTGACCCTAGACACTTCCCTTTCTGCAGCTTCAGTTTAGGGTTTTATTTTTCCCTGCTCACTCCCTCTTCTGCCTCTCTGCTGGCTTGATTGCTTCTTCCTTGTAGTCCTGTTATTCTCGCGTGGCTCAACAATCTGTGGGAAAAGGCGTGAAGAGAGAAGCATAATCTCAGTGGCTCTTCTGTTCCTGCCCTCACCTCTGGAATCACCTTCTCATTGCATTTCACCTATATATTTAGGACCCACTTGTACTTTTCTACCATTTCTACCCTGAATCATTTGATAAAGCACCCAGGGTAGATTGATTTTAGGCATTCTGAAATTATTTATTTCATAAACATTTGTTGAAAGTTTTTTTATGTGCCATACTAGATCCTGTGGATGTAAAGATGAATAAAAACAAGCTTGTTTTAAAGAGCGCACAGACTGGAGGAGGATGACCAGTGAGTACATGTGTAATGTAGTGTGTTAAGAGGTCTGCTAGTTACATGAACAACGTAATGTAGAAATACAGAGGAGGAGGACTGAGACTTTGTTTGGGAGGTGGCGAAAGGGGGTCTGATGTATGATGCAGTCTTCACAGGATAGGTGAACTAGACTTGAGGGAGAACTGTTCAACCACCATGTAATAGTAATTGCAGGAAAGCAGAAGACAGTGTGTTTCAGTGTCTTTAACCTAGGATCTGTGCTGAATGCCATGCTCAGGAGTTTGGATGTTGTCTTATAGGGAATGTAGAACGCTGGAAGGTTTTTAAGTTGGATAGTGTGGCACTTTTAGGTCAGTGTGTTTAAGAAAGATTATTTAACTACTGTAACAGAAGATGAATTGGAGGTAGGAGCTACTGGAGGCAAAAGGACTGGTTAGATAAACAGTGATGAGATCCTCATTAGCAATGTTAATTGAGGGACAAAGAATTTGTAGATTGAGGGGTGGTCTCAGTATATCCTGGTGAGTGACTGAACATATGAAATGAGTAAGGAATTAAGATTGTTTAATTAGTTTAGAAAGCATAAGAGAAGTAAGTTTGTGGGAGGGAGATAATTTAGTTTCAGTCGTGCTGAATTTGAGGTGTCTGTGGAATATCCAGGTAGAGATGGATATCCTTGTTGTTAAAATACTGTCATTGGGATTTAGGATGGGGAGATGATCAAGTGGTAATGTAAGATAACAGTAGACTAGGAGGATAGTTTTTTGTATCATAGATTATTGCTAATTGAAAAATCAGAGATTGCTGTGAGTGCAAAATACACTCAACAGCAATCAGTGGAGTTGGGGAAGAATAGGAAAACTTGATTAGAGAGGGAGATTTCAGAGCTCCAGATTTTAGAGAAAAGCCATTTCAAGTGATAGTAAGTTCTGAACATGCCCACAGGCAAAGATGCAGAAGTACGTATAAAATGCTAAAAAGTTTTAAGGAAGAGAGTGAATTACCTTCCATTGGGGAAGATGTGAGAGAACATCCATGAAAATGGCAATTGGGTTCAGCTTTGAAGAATGGGTATAAAGTTGAAAAGAATAAGCAGAGGTATTTTAGATAGAGGGAGGTTCATAAACGCCAGAATACGCAGTGGTAAAATGTAGGGACTATTTCAGGACAAGAGAAAAGTCCTCTTGGCTCTAACATAGGTGTATGTATGTATATGTGTGTGTGTGTATGTGTGTATATAAATATATATATGTATATGTATCAGTATATCAGTATATATACTGTATATCAGTATATACACACACACACATATATATATATGTAAAATAAAAAGGAAAGAGGTGAGGTCTAAAGCCTGGAGTGCCTCACTGAGTACAAGTTTGGATTTAATTTGTTAACCAGTGAAAACTCACTAAAAGTTTTTCACCGAGGAAGCGTGACCAGGGATGTGCTTTAGAAAGAGTAATGTAGCAACAGGAAGGCTATAGGAAAAGACACCAATTAAGGAGGTCTTTGGAGTCGTCTATGTGGGAAATGGTAAAAATCTGAATTGAAGTAGTGGCAAGAGGAATATAGGAGGATAGGAGAAACATTACAGAGGTGCAATTTACTGGATTTAGGAACTAAATGTATTTGGAACATTAGAAAGAAGGAAGGAAGTGTCAAAGATGACGCTAGTTTCCGGCAAGTATGACTAGGAAAATGATGAGGTCATTAATATAAATAAGAAATCCAGAGAGGGATGGTTTCTTCTTGGATTAGTGGGTTGGGGTGGAAGATAAAAGCGGTTTTGTGTATATGGTAAGGCAGAATATTTAGGCAACTGGAAATGGCTGTGGATCTTGAAATCATGAATGGAGTTTGGGAGAAGGTTTTTTCAGATTGTATATACTTAGAGAATAGGAACCAAGGGAAGGGATTAAATTGTTGAGGGAGAATGTATGGAGAGAAAAGAGAGTCATTTCCTTTCATTAACAGAGAATTAAGGATGTCACTTAAACGGAGAAGAGAAAGTAACAACCATAAAGTGGGGAATCAGGAGGATGTTGCATTTCATCAGACACGGAAGGAGAGTTTTGAATGCTACACCACAGAGAAACTGGGGAGGATGAGAATTCAGACAAGCCCCTTTGTCCAGTAGAAGATGATCAGTTACTTTCAGTGTACAGTTTAGTAATGTAGAATCATACATGAGATTGAAGGTGGTTAGGAGAGAATACGTGGAAGAGAGTGTACATTTGCTGCCTGCACTTTCATACCGCTTGTTCTGTATCAACTTTCAGAGTCAAGAAAGAGAGGTAGTTGAAGGGGTTCACCTTCTCCCTCCAAGCCAACAATAGTAACCCTCCTCTGGTATATATTTGGGAAGGATGGGAATTTGCTTCTAATACACATTTGAGTCTCTGTCAGGTGGTTGTGCCTCTGCATAGTTGACTCAGGAGAAGTACTGCTCACTTCATGTCCGGTCACCTAAGAGGGCTACTGAGTATAGTTCTCTTATAGGATTTGGTTCATTCTCCTGAGGTACAAGGAAAGGGATCAGTAGAGTAGGTTATGCTTCTCTTTACTGCTCTGACCCTTTATTCTGCATACTATTCTGCAGGTTTATGAAGGTAACACTTGACTAATGTGGGTTGAGGTGACTAAAGGGAATTATAAGGTAGAAGGAAAAATATTTTTAAATGTACATTTTTTACATGACATATTGTTACCTCATTAGGGCTGGTAAAGAACCATTACCCCATTTCTCAAACTCTGAATAATTCTAGTAGAGAAGCTTTGGAACAGCCAATATTGGAAATATCTACAAGAGTAGAGAGGGTCAGGGAGGTCCTGGATAGGGATTAGGAGGACCAGTGCAAGAGAACTTTCTGATCAAGTAGGGAGAACTACCATTCATTGAGTCAGTGTGCCTGACTCTGATAGTTTCTGTACACATTGTTATGCTTAGGCTTCACTGCAACACATTGTGGTAGATAAGATTATTTCCATTTTACAGAAGTGAGAGGAGATTTTTAGATCAAATAAGTAATTTTTAACCTAAGGTCACACAGTAAGTTTATAAAGGCTGTACTTGTCAAGTCCACTGCAAAAATGAATGATGCTTTAGCTTCTGTTTGGTCATCACTGCTGCTTTAGTGTCCTCCCTAAGTCTCTTTCATTCATAATTAACCCCTTCAGTTGGGTCCTTTAGAGCAGTTTATATATTATAAATCTGAAATACAGACACTGTAGAAAAAGTAAGAAAATATTATGGCCTCTATTTGTTGATCATATTTTCTCCTCTAGGTGGCCATGTTAATCTTCCATTTTTTGGAATACAAAAGGGGATAATATCTATAAGAAATTTTTCTAGGAAAAATAAACATTAAAATAATTTATCAAATTTCTTTGTTCACAATTTTATTTTACTTTGTTGTCCTTAAAATTAAGCAGATTTTCTGATAATCCTCTTATTCTAAAAAAGGCCTAAGAGTTAGATAGTAGGTTGTGATATCTTGTTTAAGTTGGTAAGATAGAACAACCTTTGAAATTCCATTCATGCTATTTAGTACTTTCCATTTTTATATTAGATAGGAGAAGCCTATTAGATTTTATATAAACAAACTTAGTGTAAAATTATTAGAATGTCTCTGTTATTTATAGCTTTTCATTCTCAGTTCACCATAGAGATTACCAAGCTATATTTACATGTGGGGGCATAGCTATGTTATTAAAAATCATATGATGTTATTTTTTTTGGTGAGTTAATTTTAAATGCTATTAAAAATAATTTCCAGCATCATTTGTGTCTTAAGGGTACATGTAACCCATATATATACACACGCATACACTTGCCACTCTCTTTTTATGGCTGCTTCACAAGCTCCATGCTATTGATTTTGATGTTTTCTTAAAATTAGGGTCATTAAAACACATTTCTTTATTCCTTTTATTTAAATGTTACTTTTAAAATAATGTAATACTTAAGAGTAATAAATTCTTTGTTTATATTTTCTTTAAGTGTATTTTAACTGCTTTATATTGTTCTATTGATTTTCACAATTTCTGTGTGAAGAGGGTAAGTATAAAAAAATTGTGTCTGTGTTTTCCAGATGTCTTTGACACAAAAATTTTTAGTCTTAAAATAGTAAGTTATTTATATTGCATGATTTATTTAGATTTTTGATAAGCCTTTTCTTTGACTTCAGGTTTTTGTTCATGAACATTTTTCCTCTGAAGAATTCTTTATTGTGTGTGTGTGTGTGTGTGTGTGTGTGTGTGTGTCTGTGTCTGCACTCTAAGTATGACCAATTTGGGGAGAAATTGATCTTGAAGACTTCTCCTGCATCTTTGTGTTTTGGAGATCTTTTTATGTGATGAGATCAATTGTTACTAGTAGTGTAGAATTCTTTTATAGTTCTACTTTTGCAGGCCACCTGTGACCTGTAAAATGAGATGTCTTTGTGCAATTTAGGTAAAGGCATAGCCTGCTGGGTGGATGAATTAGAAAGCAGTACCACCTTTGAGCAAACAGTTCATCATGAGAATATAGTTCAGTTAGCAGATACCACCTATGTAAGAAGAAAAAGGCATTCCTTCTTCCAGGTGTAAGCTTTGGTGGACCCAGCGCACACTGTTCTTAAGCACCCGCCTCAGCCAGGTACTTATTGCAGTGCACAGCCTATACAGCCATACACAGTGTTCCTAAAAACCTATTTTTATACACTTCCAGTCTTAAAATAAGCTGGTGGGATTGCTGTGTTTTCCATGGTAAATCTATATATATCTTTCATAATTTTTTTTTGTCTCAGATACTTATCTAGTAGTGGAATGATAGAAATTAAATCATAGACATTAAAGATATCCTTAATTGACTGATTACAAAACTGACACCTAGAGACGTGCAACTTTACTAAGATCATACAGTTCATTAGCAGCAAAACTGAGGCTCTAAGTGTTTGTAACCAGAGAACAGGTCAGTGCTTTTAAAAAGAACTATTCAGTAACCAAGCGAGTAAATAAGAGAGATACAC